CCAGGCAGCGTCGGAGGGAGAAGCGTGCGCAGCAAGGGAAGAGGCATGGGAGGGCCAGAGATTGAGCTGAGTCACGGAGCCACGCCCCACCAGGAATAAAAGTGGGTGGGATTGCTCTTCAGGCTTTGCGACAGACAAAGTTAAACCCTGAAAGTCACATCGTGATCTCTGAAATTCGGCTTGGATATATTTTGGACTGAACATTGACTAAACTCTTGTCTGGTGGATAATTTGTTGCTCCTGGAACGAACTGAAGATAAGTCCTCTTCTGCTTTATGGGAGTGAAAACGGTCTTGGCAGGCATTCGGCAGTCTGCTGCCAAAATCTTGGTCTGCCAAGAATCCTAATCTGTTTACCTAATAAAATATTGGCAGGCGTGCTTGCTATTACATTTGCCTGTGTGAGGAAGGGGGACAGAACAGCACCAGAAGGCAGGACAAGAAGCAATGAATGGAAATGAATCAAGGAGAGAAGCAACTTAGTACTAAGGAGAAACTTCCTAACAGTGAGAACAATTAACCGGTGGAACAGCTTGCCTCCAGATGTTGGGTGCTCTGTCACTGGAAATTTTCAAGAAGAGGCTGAACAGCCATTTGTCTGAAATGGGGTAGGGTTTCCTGCTTGAGCAGGAGGTTGGATTAGAAGACCTCCAAGGTCCCTTCTGGGCTCTATTCTGATTACATTACATGTTTGTCTGAAATAGGATAGGGTGTTGTGGTCCGTCACAACCTGCGGAGCTGGCAGCAGAGTCGGATAGTGAGGAGGCTGGGGAGGACAATGGGCCAGTCCTGGAGTCATCTGGGAGTGATGCGCGGACTCCAGAGCCTCCAGAGCCGGACAGCAGAGAGGAAGAGGAACAGGAGGAGCCTGTTCCTAGTGCACGCATTTGAAAAGCTGTCAGAAGGCAAGAACAGCTGAAGCAAAAAGGACGACTCAGGAGTAAGGCCAGAAGATAAGGCCCTCCCATAAGGCTCGAAAGAGCAGCAACGAGCCGTTGAGTTCTTTGTAGAAAAGCAACGTTGATTCCAGTGCTTCTTGTCAGCGTCTCTTGAACTTTGTGGGGTTTCTGCCAAGAAAAGCCTTTGGCAGGTTGCCAAAGACATCAAAGGTTGGTGATAAGGCCGACGGGCTGGTTATTAAGAATTTTGTTTTAGACTAAGCTGAGAATGAATTAATTCTCAGCTATTTTAATAAAATAAAGTTTGTTGAGGACTGAATTGTGTTTGGTAATCACTACTTGGGCCTTGGTCACAACACAGGGTCTCCTTCTTGAGCAGGGGGCTGGACTAGATGACCTCCAAGGTCCCTTCAGGGCTCTATTCTGATTACATTACTTGTTTCTCTGAAATGGGACAGGGTCTCCTGCTTGAGCAGGGGGTTGGACTAGAAGACCTCCAAGGTCATTCCTTCCAGCTCAATTCCGATGGATTGAAAACCGAGCGACCAACCTGATTTTATGACCTTCTCTGCGGAGGTTGTAAAACGAATGGCAGCGGTCGTAAAGAGAACGCCACGGCTGTTAAGCAAACCAAATAATTCAATATAGGCACGTTTTAACCCAAAACTGGAAGCAAATGCCTTTTTTTTTTCCAACGGACACAGTCCTACGACCATGGGACACTGCGTACGGTTGTAAAGGCGAGACGTTTGCCAACGTCGTAGCTGCGGACGCATGATCACGGGGGACGGGGGACTGCCGTTGGAACTGAATCTGCGACGAGACTGCCCCAAGGAGGCTCATTGGTCATAAATTGAGAACTGCCCGTATCAGAGAGCACCTAGTTTTTCGTCAAGTTATTTACCTCACTGCCGTTCACTCCGTTTTACCTCACAACCGCGAACAGGGGCCCTTCGCGCATCCTCCCTTTATTCCTTGCTCCAAGAACAGGCCGTCCTCGATTTAACAACTGCGGTCGAGCCCCAAAACATCTGCTTGTTAAGGGAGACGTTGGTTGAGTTTTGCCCCGCTTTACGACCTTTCTTGCCACAGCTCTTAAATTGAATCGTTGCGGTTTGATAAGTTAGTAACCCGGTTGTTGAGGGAATCCGGCTTCCCCATCGATTTTGCTCGTCAGAAGGTCGTCAAAGGGGAATCAGGTGATCGCGGGACACAATAAGTCATAACTACGAAGCAGTTGCCAAGCGTCTGGATTTTGATCACACGGTCACAAGAATGCTTCACAGGTTTGTAAGTGCGCAAAATGGTCATACGTTACATAAGTAATAAGCAGTGAGGTACTACGAGGTTCCGTTTTAGGCCCAGTACTCTTCAATATCTTCTTCATAAATGACTTAGATGAGGGAATAGAAGGGGAACTGATCAAATTTGCAGATGACACTAAGGTGGCAGGAACAGCCAACACCCCAGAAGATCAGCTCAGGATCCGAAAAGATCTCGACAGACTTGAACAATGGGCCCCATCCAGCAACATGAAATTTAATCTGAAGAAAAGCAAGGTTTTACACCTGGGCAGGTATAAACCAAAGACACGAGTACAAATTAGGTGGAACCGGGCTATTCTAATTCTATTCTAATTGATCGATCGCTTGACTTTTTTTCAGTGCTGTTGCAACAGTCACTAAATGAAGCGTTGTAAGTCGAGGTCTATCTGTAGAACCGAATAAATACAGGGTGCCCCAAAAGGCTGTTTTTACTCACAAGAGTGGCTTGGCCAAATTATTTAGGAGTCCACTTGAGGGCTGTGAGCATGGCTAAAGCTTGCCGATGCTGCGGGCTGTGTGTTTGCGGTTGCCACGGCTTGGGGTCTTTGTGATGTCATGAAAGTTCAGTTGGGAAACTCAACTGAACCTGGAGACCAGCAGTCCTTGAGGGTCACACGTGGTAGGACCAGAGCTAGGGCCTGGCTGGGGCTGAGGATGGAAAAGCCCGGGAGAAGAGGAAACCCAGCTAAAGGAAGAGGGCCCCCAATGAAAAAGGTACCAAGAGGAAATCCAAGCTGAAGGAGCGGTGGGGTGGGGTGGGGAGGAGAGAAATGTGGAGCTGAATTGGAAAGAAGATGGATTGTGTGTGTTTTCTGGGCAACTCATTGGAACTAAAGAGTCAGTTTTTGGTAGTGGTTAACGTGCTGGCCTAGAGAGCAGGAATCTGTGAGTTCTAGTCCTGCCTTGAGCAAGAAAGCTGGCTGGGTGACTTTGGGCCAAATACCAGGAGACGGTGAGTTCTAGACCTGCCTTAGGCATGAAAGCCAGCTGGGTGACTTTAGGCCAATCAACAGGAGACAGTGAATTCTAGTTCCTGCTTTAGGCATGAAAGGGAACTGGGTGACTTTGGGCCAATTACCAGGAGACGGTGAGTTCTAGTCCTGCCTTAGGCATGAAAGCTGGCTGAGTGACTTTAGGCCAATCAACAGGAGATAGTGAATTCTAGTCCTGCCTTAGGCATGAAAGTTGGCTGGGTGACTTTGGGCCAATCACAAGGAGACAGTGAGTTCTAGTCCTGCCTTAGGCATGAAAGCCAACTGGGTGACTTTAGGCCAATCAACAGGAGATAGGGAATTCTAGTCCTGCCTTAGGCATGAAAGCTGGCTGAGTCACTTTGGGCCAATCAACAGGAGATAGTGAATTCTAGTCCTGCCTTAGGCGTGAAAGCCAGCTAGATGACTTTGGGCCAATCACAAGGAGACGGTGAGTTCTAGTCCTGCCTTAGGCATGAAAGCCAACTGGGTGACTTTAGGCCAATCAACAGGAGATAGGGAATTCTAGTCCTGCCTTAGGCATGAAAGCTGGCTGAGTCACTTTGGGCCAATCAACAGGAGATAGTGAATTCTAGTCCTGCCTTAGGCGTGAAAGCCAGCTAGATGACTTTGGGCCAATCACAAGGAGACAGTGAGTTCTAGTCGGACTATTGTAATGCTCTCTACATGGGGCTCCCCTTGAAGAGCACTCGGAGGCTCCAGCTGGTCCAGAATGCGGCCGCGCGGGTGGTTATGGGCGCAACTCGTTGTGCCCACGTGACACCCCTCCTGCGCGAGCTGCACTGGCTCCCAGTGGTCTTCCGGGTGCGATTCAAGGTGTTGGTTACCACCTTTAAAGCACTCCATGGCATAGGACCCGGGTATCTCCGAGACCGTCTTCTGCCACCAATAGCCTCCCACCGACCAGTCCGCTCCCACAGAGAGGGTCTCCTCAAGGTGCCATCGGCCAAGTTATGTCGGCTGGTGACACCCAGGGGAGGGCCTTCTCTGTGGGAGCCCCAGCCCTGTGGAATGAACTGCCCCCGGAAATACGTAAGATCTCCGACCTCCGTGTATTTCGCTGTGCACTCAAGACCCTGTTGTTCCGCCAGGCCGGGCTATCAACAAAATAGTTTTAAATTGGGGTATTTTAAATTTCTGGGGTTTTAATTGAGCCAAATTATTTAATCATTTTAAATTTTAATTGCTGTTTTGTCTTGTGTTTTTAAATAGGCTGTACACCGCCCTGAGTCCTTCGGGAGAAGGGCGATATAGAAATAAAATTATTATTATTATTATTATTATTATTATTATTATTATTATTATTATTATTATTATTATTATTATTATTATTATTATTATTATTATTATTAGTCCTGCCTTAGGCATGAAGGCCAACTGGGTGACTTTAGGCCAATCAACAGGAGATAGGGAATTCTAGTCCTGCCTTAGGTATGAAAGCTGGCTGGGTGACTTTGGGCCAGTCCCTCTCTTTCAGCCCAACCCACCTCACAGGGTTGTTATGGAGAAAATTGGAGGAATATTAGGAATGTTTGCTAGATTGAATTATAAAGTAAGTTAAGTTTGGATTTTTTTAAAAATCTAATAAATACGAAAACAACACTTCGTGTGGGTCTGCCTGTGGCCGTGCTTGAATGTACAAGCATTGATACGCCCAAATATCTCTTCGAGAATTGCATGAACGATGAATCTCCACTCTATAAATATTGTCCCCGTTTCTCATTTGCTTTTTGGGGTGTTTATATTTAATTTCTTCTCTCTTTTTCTCCCCTGCTTTTTCTACAGAGCTCACAATTCTACAAAGTCACCACAGAACAATACGAGAAAGCTGTGAACGAGGTCAAATCCCGATTCAAGTAAGAAAGATCTTTTTTTTTAAAAAAAAACTTGTTTATCCCTTTTTATTTTGCTTTGCTTGCCCCTAAATGCCAGGGTGAAGCCGTTGCACCCCTTACCCATCATCCTGTGCCATGGAAGTGTAATACAGGTTGCCATTGTGATTTTTTTCAAGAAAGTGTTTGGATCGAAATGGCCTAGAGCAGGGTTTCTCAACCTTGATAGCTTCAAGATGGGTGGACTTCAACTCCCAGAATCCCCCAGCCAGCAGCGTGGAAGGAAGGAGAAAGAGGAAGGAAGGAGAAAGAGGAAGGAAGGAGAAAGAGGAAGGGAGGAAGGAAGGAAAAGTTGGATGGATGGAAGGAAGGAAAAGTTGGATGGATGGATGGATGGATGGATGGATGGAAGAGAGGGAGGGAGGAGGAAGGAAGGGAAGGAGAAAGGAGGAAGGAAGGAAGGAGAAAGAGGAAGAGGAAGGAAGGAAGGAGAAAGAGGAAGAAAGGAAGGAAGGAAGGAAGGAAGGAAGGAAGGAAGGAAGGAAGGGCCGTGGTGGCACAGTGGTTAGAATTCAGTATCGTAGGCTAACTCTGCCGACAGCCAGCAGTTCAATTCTCACCAGCTCAAGGTTGACTCAGCCTTCCATCCTTCCGAGGTGGGTAAAATGAGGACCCAGATGGTTGGAGGCAATAGGCTGACTGTGTAAACAGAGAGGGCTGTAAAAGCACTGTGAAGCGGTATATAGGTCTAATTGCTATTGCTTGGGAGGGAGGGAAGGAAGGAAGGAAGGAGAAAGAGGAAAGGAGAAAGAGTAAGGGAGTAAAGAAGGAAGGAAAAGTTGGATGGATGGATGGAAGGAAGGATGGGAGGAAGGAGGAAGCGGAAGGAAGGAAGGGAGGAGAAAGAGGAAGGGAGGAAGGAGAAAGGAAGTGAGGAAGGAAGGAAAAGATGGATGGATGGATGGATGGATGGATGGATGGATGGATGGATGGATGGATTATTTTGAAAACACTGCTGCTGTCCTCACTGGATTCCAGAGCCGAACGTTTCCCCCGTCCTCATCGAGAGGAAGGGGGGGAAAATGCCATTTTAAATCAGCCATTGCAATTTTCCTTTAATGGGGCAGGGCAGGTAAAATTCTCTTTTATTATTCCCCAGAGGGCTAAATGAAGATCCTGTAATTGCAGGAACGGTGTAGCTTTGACCCTTCAGCCTCGGTCGATCTGCTGAGACTAATTCTTCCCAGAAACCATCTTCCTCCGTCATGTTTTTAGACTGGAGCATCCTTTGGTCATAAATGCAGGCCAGTTGCGAAGCGTCTGAATTTAAATGACGCGGCCATAGAAACGCTGCAACGCTCGTAAGTCGCTTTGTTTCAGCGGCAATGTAACTTTGAAAGGTTGGTAAACGAAGGGTTGTAAATCAGGGACCCAGTGAAAAGCACCCTCTGAGAACCTGGAAAAGGGAACTTTTACAGAAATCCCTTTTCCAATCCTTAATTCGATGATTAAAATTGGAATTAATGCTGTCTTTAAAAGTGCAGGCTAAAACAGTTTATTTAGTGGCCATTTGAAGTTACAACAACCCTGGAAAAAGTGACTTATGACTTATGACGGCTGTAGCATCCCGGGGTCATGGGATCTCCCTTTTGTGACCTTATGACAAGCCAAGTCAAAGGGGAAGCCGGATTCACTTAACAACCGTGTTACTAACTTAACAACTGCCGTGATTCGTTTAACAGCTGCGGCAAGAACAGTCGTAAAATGGGCCAAAATTTGCTTAACAGCTATCTTGCTTAATGACAGAAATCTTGGCACAGCTATGGCAAGAAAGGATATAAAATGGGCCAAAATTCACTTAACAGCTATCTTACTTAGCAATGGAAATTATGGGCTCAATTTTGGTCATAAGTCGAATGTCAGGGTTCCAAGGAACACCCGCAATGAAAGAAAACTCCAAGGCTTGAGTTTCCTCAAAGTTCTACTTTATTAGAGATTTCGTATTGGCACATCTGGGAAAACCCAAATCTGAAAGCTTCCAGGTTTTCCCCACCTGAAGGAAAGTCCGAGTCTCTGCCCAGCACCTGCTTGTCCATCACATGGTCCAATCAAAGCATCGTCGCAACTGGAGATGCCTCCCAGTTCCAACCTTCCAGGTGCAGGGCAAGATGGCCTTGACTCTCTGAGAAAGGAATGTTATTATGAGTACACATATCATCTATGCTCCATACAATCCCCCCCTTCCAGTTTTCCACAGGAGGAAATGTGGCAGGCCTGAAGATCCAACGAAAAAGATGGCTTCCAGGCCTGCCATCAAGGACTACCTGTATTACAATATGATTAATTTAAGACTAAACGCGATATAGGATTTTTTCTAAGATCCTCTAAAAAGGTCCCATCGGGAACGGGCTTCCAATTATTGGAATGAAATTAAAGGCCATCGTGCTTTCTTGCTTTACTACCGAAAAAACGAATGTGTTTTTAAAATTGTCCTTTTGGAATTTCAGCGCTCTTTTACGCATTTAAATTACTAAACAGATTTTCTTTTGAGTTCAGTTTGCTGTGTAAATCACTCCTGAGATGAAAGAAAAGCACCCCGTCCATTGATGTTTCGGGTTGGGTTTAATGGAACGTGAGGATAGAAGGCAAGCCGTGGTACCTTACAAAGAGCTTGCTTAATTGCCTGTAAAAAACAAAAAAAAAGAGGAATTAAATAAGGTTGAGCTGCTAAATTTATCATTCCGTGAAACGCATGAAGCAACGTGTTGCGTGTCAGCGTGATCTCAAGTTCGGAGTGTGAGATTAATAGAGCTAATTGCGGCATTGTTGCAAAGCAGCAACGCTTAATAAGGGCAAATATGCCTGGAATTTCTAGTAAGTTTCCACTCAAGAATTCACTTTCTGTGTCAGTTTAGAAAGGTTGAGTTTCACACAGCTGTCTGTCTTTTACAGGGATTATGTTAAAATGTTCATATTGAAATCTGTAGGCTGTACGGTGTGAATGCAAGACACGAGAGCCAGTTTGGCCTAGTGGTTAAGGTGCTGGCCTAGAAACCAGGAGACTGTGAGTTCTAGTCCTGCCTTAGGCATGAAAACTGGCTGGGCTACTTTGGGCTGATCACCAGGAGACGGTGAGTTCTAGTCCTGCCTTAAGCATGAAAGCTGAGTAATTTTGAACCAATCATTGGGAGACGGTGAGTTCTAGTTCCTCCTTAGGCACGAAAGCCGAGTAATTTTGAACCAATTATCAGGAGATGGTGAGTTCTAGTTCCTCCTTAGGCACGAAAGCTGAGTAATTTTGAATCAATCATCGGGAGACGGTGAATTCTAGTTCCTCCTTAGGCACGAAAGCTGAGTAATTTTGAATCAATCATCGGGAGACGGTGAATTCTAGTTCCTCCTTAGGCACGAAAGCTGAGTAATTTTGAACCAATCATCAGGAGACGGTGAATTCTAGTTCCTCCTTAGGCATGAAAGCTGAGTAATTTTGAACCAATCATCAGGAGACGGTGAGTTCTAGTTCCTCCTTAGGCATGAAAGCTGAGTAATTTTGAATCAATCATCGGGAGACGGTGAATTCTAGTTCCTCCTTAGGCATGAAAGCTGAGTAATTTTGAACCAATCATCAGGAGACGGTGAGTTCTAGTTCCGCCTTAGACATGAAAGGCAGCTGGGTGACTTTGAGCCAATCATCGGGAGACAGTGAGTTCTAGTCCTGCCATGTAGGAGACTACAGTGTAAATGCAGGATTTGAGAGCAATTTGGCTTGTAATTAAGGTGCTCGTCTAGAAACCAGGAGACGGTGAGTTCTAGTCCCTGCCTCGGGCGAAAGCCAGCTGGGTGACTTTGTGGTAGTCATTCTCTCATCCCAACTCACCTCGCAGGATTGTTGTTCCAGGGATAATAAGAGGCCAAAGAGTATTATGGATGTTCACCACCTTGAATTACTTATAAAGTAATAAAGTGGGGGAGGGGATCAAAATCTGATAATAAATAGTATTTAGTATTTTAGTATTTTATTTAATTTGTATACCGTCCTTCTCCAACAGGACTCAGGGCGGTGAACAGCCAAAATAAAACTGAACATACAAAATTTAAAAGCAGTTTAAAAAGTAATTAAATATTTTTGGCCACAATTTAATAAATTGTAAATTTATTAAATAAATAAATAAATATCCAAAGCCTTGTGTATTCCTACCAGCAAGTCTCTAAGGAATGCATGAGATATTTTAAAATATCCAAAATATCTGCGCAATGGATTATTTGGGAAGGTTCTGTGCCTGGAGGTGACCCTCGCTTGTACGAAGTGGGGAAAAAAAAATCTGCAAAGCGGCACGAAAATGGCACACAACCAAATGCTATCGAAAATGTCAGATCTAGCAATATGCAAATCGCACCCTGAAGGCCAACAAAACATTAAACAAGATAAAATGCCAATTCTTTTACACACAGTGGCCATTCAGCCAAAAAGAAAGAAAAGAAAAGAAAAGAAAAAAGAAAAGAAAAGAAACCGTTCCCTCTTGGGCGAAACGTTGCAACAGGCTCGGTAGCAAAACCCTGAGTCTCTGCCGAGGTTCTTTGCAAAGTCGTAGTGGCCTTCCCCTTTCAACTAGGAGCAAAGATTTTGCAGCTGGTCTTAAGACGGGAACGAAATCACTCTGGACCTCTGATCTCTTTTGTGTTTCAAACGCTGTAATCAACATCAGTATTTACAGTGAGTCCTTGATTTAACACCAGTCGCTTGGCATCACCAGCACTGACAGGGCAAGCCACTAGTAGTTATTCAAACTGAGAGTAAATCCCATTCCCTTCTAGCACTGATGGTGTTATCCCACAGTCCTCTGCCTCCTCCTCTTCCATTCCTCCTCCTCCTCCTCCTCCTCCTCCTCCTCCTCCTCCTCCTCCTCCTCCTCCTCCTCCTCCTCCTCCTCTTCTTCTTCTTCTTCTTCTTCTTCTTCTTCTTTTTCTTTTTCTTCTTCTTCTTCTTCTTCTTCTTCTCCTTCTCCTTCTCCTCCTCCTCTTCC